AAACCATAATAGTCATTAGATCCTGATATGAAAACCAATTTCTCCATAATGCACATCTTATTTTCATTGGCGTTGATGTTGACCTTAAACTTTTGCTGCAAAGTACTTTAGTTTAAGCAGAAAAAAAAGGAAGTAGAAAAATGATGGTCATGGGCTTTTCAATTCAATCAATTGATTGTCTGACATTATTTTCTTTATATGTACTTCTACATCATTTTGAGTATTCTTATTTTAGAGAGATGTAAATTATTTCTCCTATTAGAAGACCATGATGCTTGTGTCATGTCTGAATGACTTTTAATCTAATACTTATTGAACTTGTCATCTCACCAACATTTCACAACTGCATGTTTCAGGTATATGCTCTATCAAGAGATCAGGGAGTTCCATTTTCATCCATCCGGAGAAGAGTGCATCCGAAACACAAGGTTCCAGCGAATGCAGTGTGGCTGTGTGCAACCATCTGCATTCTTCTTGGACTACCTATATTGAAAGTTAATGTGGTCACTACAAAAACTTCCATATGCACAATAGGATGGGTTGGTGGATATGCTGTTCCAATTTTTGCAAGGATGGTCATGACTGAGAAGAACTTCAAGGCAGGGCCATTTTATATGGGCAAAGCAAGAAGGCCAATTTGCTTGATAGCCTTCTTGTGGATCTGTTATACCTGTTCAGTCTTCTTATTGCCAACTTTCTATCCCATCACCTSGAACACATTCAACTATGCACCTGTGGCATTGGGTGTAAGTTTGGGTTTAATAATGCTTTGGTGGTTTCTGGATGCAAGGAAAAGGTTCAAGGGTCCTGTTAGAAACGTTGATATTCATAATGGGAAGTGATGATGCGCAATCTGGCTGGTCTTAGCTGTCAGCGATCTTGCCTCTGAACCGAGTGACAAGGAACCTGAAACGGAGGAGATGAGGAAGTTCCGGGGAGGACCCGGTGTAAAGGCTCCGAAGCTTAAGTTAGAATCCTTCAAAGGCAAGATAAACCAGATAGCACAAAGTTTTGCATACCTCCTCTTTGGGGGTGGAGCGCCTTTTACAACCACCTCGCGTACTCACTCCTAGACTCCTGTCAGGTCGGGAATGAGTATTTTCGTGCTTCTGCCAGTCCGGGCGTCATCGCCTCTGCTGGGGCAGAACCGTCACCGCTCCTTTTGTCGGAGCCGTCTCTGTAACTGGAGGCAGTGGTGACAGGTGACGGTGGCAGGTGGCCGTTGGAAATGCGGCCGTCAAGCGTCAGATCCCAAGTCAGTCAAGTGCGCCGCCCCTGGATACGGACTCCTTCGGTGTCAGGTACGGCGTGGTTCGTCCAGTTCAATGCTCCGGAAGCGAAGTGCCTGGAGTGGTGCGTAAGGCAAAGTCTCGAGTTCGGATAAGGGGAGGCCCCGAACTGTCATAAGACGGGCCAGTTCGGGTCTTTGCTTTGTGTGACTCAGGGTCAAAAGGGAGAGTTCGGGCTCCTCGCAGGGAGTCCGAACACTAAGTAGGGAGTTTGGGCACTAAGTAGGGAGCTCGGGCACTAAGTAGGGAGCTCGGGCTTCTTGCTAGGGAGTTCGAGCACTAAGTAGGGAGTTCGGGCCTGCTGGTCCCTTCCCTTTGGTGTTTGTACCCTCGGTATGCTGTCTTGAGTGCCGAGCTACTTGCCTTTTTTGCCACGTGCCGTGATTTGCGAGGTCGGGCCAAATCTTCCTTCATCAATTGCCCCCCACTCCTCGTGCTAAGGTCTTGCCCTTGCGCGGGGAGTTCGCAAGGTGTCAGGTAGATTTGTCCTGCACTTTGAATCTTGGTTCTGCTAGCGCGAGGTGTGCTGTCAGGGTTTCTTGGGTTTCTTCGAGTGTCCATTTATGCGGGAAGCGTGTTGGCCTGTCTAAATGTTGCTAGATGTGGCGGTGCACGCGCTTTGCTTGAAATTTCAAAAAAAGGGGCGCGCCACTTGGGGGCGCGAAAGCGGGCATTTTTTTTTCAAATTTGAAAAAGACGTGCCGCTGCCGTTTTTTCTGAGACGTGCACTGACGTTCCGTCAGTTTCGAAAAGATGCGCGCCGTCGCTGTCAGTTTCAGAAAGACGTGCGCCAATCACATCTCGGTTTTGGGCGACGTGCGGTCAGGGCGGTCGTAGGCCATCGGATTGGCTTTGATCTGAGTCGTTGCCTTTTGGTCACTGTGAGCATAAATAGCGGGGACCCCGGTTTGTTGTCGCTTTTGTATCTCTCGAGCTCGCGTCTGAGTTTCAGCTCGCATCCAGTTCGTGTTCAAGTTTTTTCAGTTCGCGCTCAAGGTCTTCCGTTCGTCCAAGCTTCTGTGGTCTACAGCTTTCGTCCGGGTGAGTACTTTCCTGGGTCTCGTCACTCCCAATGTCTAGCTCGGATGGCTCAGATAGTCATTTCAGCGGGTCTGATGCAGATTCTACGAGCCAAGTTGCATCCCCCGATAGCCTTAGCGAGCCGGAGGTAGAGCTCGAGGAAGAGTTCGAGCCTGTAGGCCGTGGCGCTTCGGGTAGTTTGGCGTCCACCTCTCGCCGGGGTCAAATGTTAGACAAGTTCGGCCCTTCGACCATGACGCCCGAGGGGCTCCAATMCCTCATTACTTACTATAACTTGCCCGAGGAGTATGCTTATTTCATACCTTCTGGTAGCTTTCCTTGGGAACATGGTCCTGATGAGATCATAATATTCCGGGAGTAGCTCGCCGCGAGGCTGCGATTGCCTTTCCACCCCCTCTTCGTCGAAGTCTTGAACCACTTCGGCGTGACAGTCGGCCAGCTTCACCCGAACTC